TTCCCCTCCCCTCCCCCTTTTTCTTGTCTTCCGTTTTTCCTTTCCTGCCTTTCTTTCTTTGCTGTCCTTTTCTCTTGCAGGGCCTTTGCACTCAGCTACCTCTGATTTGTTCTAAATTTTGAGACGGGGTCTTCCAAAGCCATTAAATTGCCCAGTCTGGGCTCAAACTTGCCATCCTCCTGCTTCAGCCTTCCAGAGTTCTGGGGTCACACGAATGAGCCACTACGCCCCGCTTGCCCGGTATTAACCTTGGTGGGAGGGACAGACTGGAACTGGATACCACGAACACTGCTTCCCGGTGCTTGCAGTGGACGCCGGGCGGTGACCTGTTTCCCTCCCTTGAGCGAGCCCAGCTAGGTCAGTCTCCCGCTCTGCTCTTTACATGGTTCCGCTTGGGGCAGTGTGAGTGTTCCCGGATGCCGTGGGTGGCTGTATTTAGGTCTTTGCAGCAGGTTATGCTCATTGGTGGACTGGGAATCTGCTGCTTGGAGGAAGTTTACTGACGACAGCAAATGACTGAGCCTAGGGTATTGAAAAAAGGGAATATAAATTGCTTTAACGTCACACTTTAGTGAACAGAAAAGAAGAGCATAGCAAATGATGGGATTTTAAACATCATCCTATTTTATGTAATTTCTCTGCACAAGGATGCGCAGACGTTTGAAACACCCCACTCTGTGATTAGAAGGTTTGCTCTGAGATTTTAGGGCTTTCAGATCCAACTGGCAAGCAGGCGCCTCTTCACCACATCAGATGTTGTCAAGCCACCCTAAATAAGATAGGCAGATTTCTCCTCTAAAAGAGACAAGGCCCTTGGCAAAGGGGAGCTAGACTCTTCTCCTCGCCTCTCATTTGGGCCTCGGGAATCCTTTTATTTACCACATTGTCTCTGATCTGCCCCTTCCTCTGACTCCCACCCAGCTCACCCCCTGAGCAAATTTTCTGTCCTATATAGGAGTATTTCATCAAGTGTGGTACAGATACCACTCATAGTTATCCATGTAGCTTTTACATAGATAAAATATTTCCCGAATGTCCAACAGTGGGTAAACAAAATATGGCATGGATATATACAAGAGAGCATTGTTTAACCTTAAAACGCAAGGAAATGTCTGACATACAATTCAACTTGAGTGAGCCTTAAGAACATGATGATAAAGCCAGTCACTGTGGGACCATGTTTTTGAAAGGCCATAGCTAAAACTTTTTCTTTCAGCCTTCCAGGTTTTTGTCTTCTCTGACTCCTTAAAACCAATACATGGTCTGTCAACTTGTGAGGGGGGACTTCATATATACAGGTTTGGGGCTCCCCTTCCATGGTTCTCTTTTTCTGATTTTCTCCCCTTAGTTTTCAGCTGCCCTGAAAGCCTCCAAATTTGTTTTCTTATTCCTCAAGTCTGAAAATGTTCAAACATTCAGAAAACTATAAAGAATACTACTGCAAACACCTATATTCCTACCTCCGCCTTCTGAGTGTGAAATTACGGGGATGCATCATCATGCCTTGCTGAGAATATCTTTTTTTGTTTATTTTGTTTTGTTTACCGGGCCAGGTACTTGTACCACTGAGCTACATCCTCAGCGCTATTTTGTTTTGTTGAGACAGGGTCTCACTATGTAGTTCATGTTGGCTTTGAAGTCACTATGTAGCCCAGGCTGGCCTCAAACTCAGTCATCCTCCTGCCTCAGCCTAGTGCTGGGATCACAGTTATGCACCACCACACCCAACTAAGAATCTTGATTTTTAGTAACAGTATATCATAAGATCCATAGGGGCTGGGGATTTAGCTCAGCGGCAGAGCGCCTGCCTGGCAAGCACAAGGTTGTGAGTTCGGTTCCTGGTACCGGAGAAAAACCAAAAAACTCAAAAAAAAAAAAAAAAAAAAAAAAAAAAAAATCCCTTCACAGAGGTTTTTCGTTGTCTTGTTCCAGTCCTCCCTCTTCTAGTAGGTAGTGGTATGTATCTGTTTTATGTATTATTTTTAAGATATGAGCAGAATGTAAATATATTCATATTTACTTCTCTTTCTTACAAAAAGATTCAAAACTCTACTGAACCTAATAGATATTATGGATCTTTCCAAAATATAGGTGATCAAGGGGCCTGTTTGCTTTATAGTCATAACATGTACTTGAGAATTACTTGCATATTATTGCTTACATGCTTTGGAATTGCATCTTTGGTCTGACCATTTAAGAACAAGATACTGCTCAAGAATTTGTTAGTATAGCTGGGATATACCTCAGTGGCATGGTGCCTGCCTGGCAAGCACCAGGTCCTGAGTTCGACTTCTGGTTCAAGACAAAAAAAGATTTGTTCGATCACAAATTAGAAATAGTTATTGTGACTGTAAAGTTTTTGCTTTGCAGTTCTAGTGTTATATCATACATTTGTCTTTTAAAATTTTTGTAGGTTGAAGATCCAGATTGCTTCTGGGTTGTTATAAAAGGATATAGTCCCTTTTTAGATCATGAAGTCGACTATCAAAAACTAAATAGTGCCATGAATGACTTCTATAACAGCAGGCATCAAAATACTGAAGTAAAACCGTTGATTTTGGAAGAAGGCCAGGTATGTATCAAATGTGCTTTCATCACCATGCCTTGAAACACTACTCAGAATGTAAAATGTTTTGGTCCCTAAAGTCATGAAAGTCTTTGGAATATGTTAGTTGCTTACAGTCATTGCCTGGTGTTAGGTTTGATAGGTTGCACGAAATTTGGACCAGGCCTAGAAAGGAAGGGTTGTTGTGCAAGGCGAATGGTGGGCAGTAGGAGATGGCATGTCATCTAAATCCAGGGCCATCCTCCTGGGGCTGGGAGCCAGGAGAGATCCTCGGTCCAATACTGGTGTAGAGACTTCAGCCATGAGGGGAAGGGGTTTTTAGTCTAGGGCTGGCGCCTGCCTCCTGATTGCTCATGACCTTGGCACCTCACACTGCTTTATTTATTTCCCTTTTTCCACATCACGGCCATTCTTTGCCTTCTTGCAGGGTCTGCCTCCCATTGTTCATTGTTCTTGACAGGTCAGCTGTTTCTCAGAAGAGTTTGAATTTTTTGTGATAAGGTAATGGGAAGAGATTTATACAATGTGAAAAAACTAGAAAACATTTGCATTTCTCCCCCCAGTCATAATTAATAACAATTTACTTTTCTTATGTGTGTGTGATACTGGGGATCAAACCTAGGACCTTCACACTGAGCTATGTACTCAGCCCTTTTTATTTATTTATTTAAGTTTAAAGAGAGAGGAAAAACAAAAAATGACAGCAACAAGGACAAAAATAACAAAACACAAAAACAATGAAAATGATACAAAATTTCAAAACAATATGTTAAGAAGTTAGCAATGGTCTTTTCTCAGCCCTTTTTAAATTTTGAGACAGGGTCTTGCTAAATAAATTCTGCATTGCCCTACTAGGCCTGAACTTGTAATCTTCCTACCTCAGCCTCCCAGCGTTCTGGGATTGCAGAATGCTCTACCACATCTGGCTCTTTAAAACTATTTCACATTTTTAATAGCTTGCTTGCTATCTGGTGGTGCTAGTTTAACTTTTCCTTCTATCCTCTGTATTTTCTGTGGATTGATATTTAAATACAGTTAAATATAAAATTCTAGGTGGGCTTAGGGTCACTTTTTTCCCTAAGAATGTTTGCTCTTTGGGCTTCATGTGGCATTAAATTGGGAGACAGCATTGCTGTGGCCAGTGGATTTGGATGGTGATAGCCACTCACTTTGGGAATTGCCTGTCGTGTTTATGTACTGATCTGTCCATTCAGGGACCACTGCTGCCCAGTCAGCTTTCATTCAGGCTTGCATCATAGTGATTTGTCTTGTTCCTTCTGCATTAATGGGCTGGGGTTCTTCTGTATAGAACTTTCTCTGATTTATTAAGACCATACAGTTATTACAAGTATAACAGTTAAGTTTATACTGTAAATATTTAAAAATTACTGGATTTCTTTCCCTTAGATATCTTCAATATAATGCTTTGTACTTAAATATCTCCACTGGTGTTCAGAGGTGTCTTTTTCTCTCCTCTTTTTCTTGTGCTGAGGATTGAAACTAGGGCCTTATGTGTGCTAGACAAGTCCTCTGCTACTGAGCTACGTTCACAGCCTCATTTTTTTTCGTTTTTAAGTACCATTTTGATCCTCATGGCTTTTTAATATAGTCATCAGTCATAGTTACTGTTCTTGTTGCATAAATTGTTCCCTTTTTGGCTTGTAGAAGCCCTAGTGTAACCCAATTTCAAAGTTTTACTGGTATGTGAGTTATTAACTATTCAAGCCAGCCCTACAAGTTGCTTTGATTTTAGCAATAGAAATAGCCTTTATCCTCAGTCAGGATTTCTCTTGAGCAATTTGTGAGGTTCTCAGGAGCCTATCTTTTGCAGTGTGGCTATAACTGTATTTTCTAGTTTCCATTCTGGAGATCTGGAATCTGCTGGTGGGCCTCTTCCCTGCTTGAGCACAGTTGCCCCCTGCTGGGTGGCTTTAGAAGCCTGTGGTCAGTGTGTGGTCTACTGGACTGTGGATTGCCAGTTGAGTTGGCTGTGACCTGGTAGTCCTGCCCTTTAGTCAGGATGCCAAGGGTGTCACTTATGCAAGATGGTTCCCTGTAAGAGGAGCTGCCACAGGCATTTATTTAGTCAACCATTCAGTGAATAGGTTTTGTTATTATTGATGTTTGTTTGCAGTGCTGGGAATTCGATCCAGGGTCTTCCCACTGAGTTACATGCTCAGCCCTTTTTTATTTTCTATTTTGAGACGGTGTCTTTTAAGTGAATAACTTGCTCTGCTGGGCTTGAACTTGTGGTCTTTCTACCTCAGCTTCCAATAGTGCTGGGATTACATGCCATATCTGGTTCAACAAGTAGTTTTGAAGACTTAGTATGAGCCAGGCACTGTAGTAGGAACTGGGAGCATGGCAGGAAGCAAAGCAAAGGTCCACATGATCATGGAGCCAGCCTCCATTTTGACAGGTAGCAAGCAGATAGGAGAGGGTAGAAAAAGCCATGGGAGGGGATGGGATGATGAGTGTGAGGTTGCAGTTTTACATTGGTCTGATACTGCATTACCAATCATTTGTAAGGGTAAGCTTTATTTCTCTAAAAGGTAAAGTAATGTATTTTTAAAATTTTGCTTTCTAAAAATTTTCCCTAGTTAAGGAGTCAAAAGTAATGTACAAGAGTGTCTATTACCTGTAGGGAATATGTTCCATAATGCACCCACCTGTCCCTGGGGGTGCTTAAACTGTATACACACTGTTTTATATATATACGTGTGTGTGTGTATATATATATGTATATATACGTGTGTGTGTGTGTATATATATATATACACACACACACACACGTATATATAATACACATGTATATATATATATACACACACATACATACAGACTTAGGATAAAGTTTAATTTATACATTAGTCACATTAAGAGATTAACAATAACCAGTAATAAAATACTTACAGCCATATTCTTGTGATAGCTTTCCATCATGTGACAAAACTCCTGATATAAATCAGCTTAAAGGAGGCAGGGTTTCTTTTTTTTTTTTTTTATTTTAGAAATAAAAGGAGGAAAATATTAACAGACCGACAACATTTTACAAAATAGCAAAGGATCAGTACAGACATTACAGAGTTACAAACAGAGTGGTAGGGAATTAACAATGCTTATTGTATTACA